GACAATACAACATTTCTTGATACATTGAAAGCAGTGTAAGGGAGGTAATCCAAACATAACATTGTACTTTTTTTTAATTGTCCATTAACCAGGAAACCCTTGTTTTTCCCCCTTTTTTGCCCCTAATTCCTAAACGGTTTGAGCCCCAAAGCAAATCCTAACCATCCCTTTGTGGTATGGAAACTTGTGGTATAATTTCAGAGAGATCCATACACCGTTCCACAAGTTATTGTCTGGAAACTAGAAAAAATGCTTATTTGGGCCCCTTTTTGGCCCAATTCCTAAACTGTTAGGACTATAACCCCCAATATCAATCCCAACCTTCCTTTTGTGGTTATAAACCTTGTTGAAATTTCATAGATTTCTACTTACATTTACTAAAGTTATTGTCCGGAAACCAAATGTCTTCGGACGACGCTGATGACGACGACGTGATACCAATATACGACCGCAAAATTTTATGCGGTCGTATAAAAATACACTTTTATGACCTTTTTATTGAAAAAGGTTGAAAATAAATTTCAACATAAAGTACAACTTCAACTACAAGTGAAAAGTTTGTACTGCCAAGGGATGCATGGACTGCGCATTTATTGAAAAAAAAAAATGAATTTCAAGGATAAAACCATTTGTATTTTTTTTTAAATCTAACAAGTTTACCTCAAAGCATTACCAAGAAACAACAAAATAGGTATTACTATCCGGCAGCGGCGTAAACTATTTGTATAAAGCTTTATATTTCTGAAGGTAGACGGACCTGGATACTTCATACAGATAACTTATGTTACGAAGTTTCCGTCTGTCATATGTCCATTGTCCTTGACCACATTTTCATGGTTTAGCGACTGCTTGAAAAAAAAATTAGTTTTCTAGTCATGCGAATTTATCACTTACTATGATTAGTAGGATAACTATATTTGGTATATGGGTTCCTGACCTCGACCTCAGTTCATGGATCAGAAATCAAGGTTAAAGTTACCTGATTAGGTCCGTTTCTCAGATAATATAAGCAGTAGGTCACCTATATGTGGTATATGGAATGATTGTAAGGGGTACATGTCAGTCTGGCAGGTTTCATCTGACCTTGACCTCATTTTCATGGTTCATTGGTCAATGTTAAGTTTTTGTGTTTTGGTCTGTTTTTCAAGTACTATAAGCAATAGGTCAACTATATTTGGTGTATGGAATAAATGTAAGGTGTACATGTCGGTCTAGTCGGTATCATCTGACCTTTACCTCATTTTCATGGTTCATTGGTCAATGTTAAGGTTTTGTGTTTTGGTCTGTTTTTCAAGTACTATAAGCAATAGGTCAACTATATTTGGTGTATGGAATGAATATAAGGTGAACATGTCGGTCCAGTCGGTATCATCTGACCTTTCCCTCATTTTCATGGTGCATTGGTCAATGTTAAGTTTTTGTGTTTTGGTCGGTTTTCCAAATACAAATAGCAATAGGTCAGCTTGTGGTGTATGGAACAATTGTAAGGTGTACATGTCTGTCAGGCAGGTATTATATGACCTTGACCTCATTTTCATGGTTCATTGGTCAATGTAAAGTTTTCGTGTTTTGGTCTGTTTTTCAAGTACTATAAGCAATAGGTCTACTATATTTGGTGTATGGAATGATTTTAAGGGGTACATGTCAGTCTGGCATGTTTCATCTGACCTTGACCTCATTTTCATGTGGTCAATGTTGAGTTTTATTGTGTTTTGTTCTGTTTCTCGGGTACTATTAGCAATAGGACCACTATATTTGGTGTATGGAATAATTGTATGGTGTACATGTCTGTCTGGCATGGTTTATCTGACCGTGACCTCATTTTCATAGAACATTGGTAATGTTAAGTTTATGTTATACTTGTAGTGAAACCTTCATGTTACAGACTTTCAACAGGAATTCAATGATAAGTATAACAGGCAAAATATTTCAGCGTGTGCACTCTTGTTTGTGTTTTGTGCTAAAACTAAAGAAGGTAGAGAGAAACTGTAAACAGAAAAACAGAAAAAAATTATCTGCAATACAAGATCAACAATAAAAATATTGTTGTTATAAATTATAGTCTAGTCCACAATGTTGGAGAGTGTCCATTGTTGAAGATGCACATAGACCTAGGAGATCGACAAAGGCTGTCTCTAACTGGTTTATAATGACACTTGAATAGGTGAAAGATAAAGAAAAAAAGGAAGAATTATTTTGATTTTTTTGGTCAAAGGTCAAGGTGACAGCTGCTAAAAAAAGGCTGACATTTAAAAAAATAATTGCAAGTCCGACTTTCGTCGCAGGCGAGACAAAAATGATAACACAGATGGCTTAGCGCAGATAATGAGGAAAACATTACATATGTCTGGACAGCATTCCTTGTTTGTAGAGCCAAGACATATGGTGATCCACCTGTGTATATATATATCAGTCCGCAATGATCAAATCTGTAACAACGATTCGACATTCCATAGATACAATCCAACAATGTGTTTTTCCGATCAATCTTTTTTTTTTTTTTGCCTTTGCAAAATCAGAACAGTGGAACTGGGCAAACATATTTCTAGCAGAACAAAGAATAGTTTTGTGTTAGGTCTTCATATAGAAATGGCATCGTTCAGAACCTTATGTGATTGGTTAGAAAACAGTGGTTGAACAAGTGTTCAATCAAGAAAACATAGTTCTTCATGAACAGCGGATTCTTTTTAGAGGCTCTCATGCATCATGAACAAGACATTTCAATGAGGTTACAGTAGGTGTACTTCTCATTCTTATGCAAAGATTTTGACATAATTTTTACTGAGGAACATTAGACCCTGTTGAGAACTATGTAACATTCAAGAATGGAGTAATAAGAGGGAAATTGAAAGTCCACTTCACCACAAACTAGTCTATAACATTAGATTGAACTGGACCTGTTGATAAGAGATCATTAGGAGAATGTTCCTTCTGGTATATAAAGATTCCATTATACTGGTTATTCATTGGTTCTTTGCATTTTTCAATCAAAATTATGGCCTCCAGTACCCGTGCGCTATATTATGCCATTTAGCTATACAGTTTAAGTGTTACAAATGTACTTTGATATGGTAACAGTAGTTCAAGCCCATGAGTAGAATATCACACTTGTAAAAGGAGAAGCCGGGGCAATCAGATTGACCATCAATATCGCACAACTACAACATTTAATAGTGTTTTGTCTAGAAATGGCAAAAGTAATTTTACAAATTTCAATCCACCTTTGAAATAATATAACGTGATCAGGTAAACCACATGATGTTCTACATACATCAAGAACGGTTAAAAAATCAAACACACAACAGTCAAAGCATGTGAAAGCTTTAGGCGAGGGAATGTTTCAGCATTTTACCCAGAGTGCTATTTAGTACTTCGTGTGAATGTGGAATGCATATACCCTATTGGACATATATCACGAAAGGATCAGCATTTTGTAATGAGCTAGTAAAATGCGGTTGACAGATATAAACGGATGTCATGGTAGATAAAAATGCACGAGGACAATGATGTTATGCACGGTGCTGTTTAAAATGTGATGGGGAGTGGGGCGAAGATTAAATAGGCTGTCCTATAGAAACATTTTGAAAATTGCATTGAAAATATGTTGTTGTTAAGATGATAAAAAAAGATGGAGAAGGTACTAAAGTCACTCGAAAATCATTAGTAAAATAAAACCAGAGAAGAAAATGGATAAAAACGCAAAAAAAGACTAAGAGCAGTCAAGTAATAACTACATAAAAATCTAAAAATTGAGCAAATGGAACCCCACTTAAAGGCAAAGATGATTTCAGTTGCTCATGAAAGGGTCAGCAGTTCCTGCTCAACAAGTGACACCTGCCTAGGTGCTCTTGTTTCAATAGTTTGATGAGTCATATCCAGAAATTAGGCATATATTATATAATATTGGATTTAGAAATTATAATCACAAATTCAAAACATGTAAAAACCATTGGTACATGTAAATTATCTCAAACTTTACCAAATGTGAAAGTTTCAAATTATAAAGGTTTTCAATGCCTGTACGATGGATAACAAGACTTTAACTGGTTGACAACACAGACATTGAAAAATAAAGAGCAAATAACACCACACTAGTCCCATTTCATCAAAACAAGGGTCAACACAGGTGTTCTTAAATGGTGTGTAGTTTCTGGCAAACTGGTAGCACTCATGATGTTACTCATTGCAAGTAGAAATTCGGTGATAAGTCGTTTTTATTGTTATTCTTGATGTTACCACAATCGAGGAAAAAGAGAGGATTGTGGCAAGGAGAAGTGGAACATATCCATTATCATGTGTGACTCATATGGTATTTAATGGCCAAACAAATCCTGATGGCGTCCTGAAAACGTTCGTATGTTTCCATTTATGGGATCTTTGATTAAATTGTCTTGCAAGCAGCATCCATGTATCATCATGGAAACGCATTCCCTAGATTATTGTATGAACTGCAAATTGCAATTCGATAAAAGTAAGATCAGCAAAGCCTTGTCTTAGTTTGTTTATTTTCACTTTTTGGCTACCATTTTGAAATTTTCCGCCATTTTGAAAAAGTCTAATATAAGGTCATGACTTACTAGAAACTTTGGATAATAATTTATATGTATCTAAAAGATTTGGTTGTTTAAATATTATTTGCTTTGAATTATACATGGTTGTGAAATTTGAACTGATTGGCAGACATCTTGAAAATGGCGGCCATGTTGGATTTTTCAGGGTGGGTCCATAGCTTAAATTGACTACCAAATATATATCTACAGTTGTGCAAATTTTCATGCTTTTATCATCAAACCCACAATTCTTCTAAAAATATGCAGGAATCAGCTGGACTATCACACGAATTTCAATTTGGAACAGTAAATCCATTGGTTGAATTAGAGAAGTTTTAAAATACAATTAAGTCAATATTGAAATGTTGTCTCTGTTGTAGAGATAAGAAAATGTTACACTTGATTATTTCCAATACATGTATAAGGGCTACCTTGATTTAATATTCATACCTAACACTTTTGATCCTGGTTTGTCCAGATTTAATATACTGTTTGCAAAAGGTCCTATAAGTGTACTAAATTTTTTAGGCTCCTCGAACATATGATACTCTGGTAAAATAAGATACAACCTTAGAGCCTCTACATCAGGTGGAGACTGTGGTAAGGACGGCAATAAATAAGACTCTAAACACTTTGTTATCTGAAAATATAGCAACACAAGATATTGTTTAGCCACAAAACATTTATAAAATATTATAAAATTTATTCTAAAAGTATAAACCCTCAAACCTCAATGTTAAATCATGAATGATGATTCTTCTGAAATGGGATTTGATATTTCATTGAATTCAACATATTTTCCTTTAACAAATACAGTACAAAAATTCATCTATTTCAAAGTACATGTATATGTTATTTTATCGAATTTTATACAACTTCATTATCTTTTTTTAGAAACAAGAAAGCAATTGGTTAGTTTAAATAATTCTTCAAGGAAACAAACCTTCTTACCAGCGACTAAACAGTATAAATAATGTCTTTTTTGTTTACCTCTGATGCATAAATGACCCCTACAGAAAAAAAAGTTCAGGGCCAGTTGAGGGCCATGTGGCGGACAGTTGAGGGCTAGCTGTTTTAAGCAAAATAGTTGAGGGCTAGGTGTTGAGCATCTTAGCTCAACTCAAACCTGGCCAAGCACTGTATGTTTGATAGATGTCGCTCAACTGGCCCTCAACTGAAGCTGGCCATTAAGTTGAGGAAAAATTGAGCAATTGATCTTTGATTTTCATATAGTTGAGCAAAAGTTGAGCTTTCAGACTTTGATTTTTTTGTAGTTGAGGAAAAGTTGAGCATTCAGACTTTGATTTTTTTTGTAGTTGAGGAAAAGTTGAGCAATTGATCTTTGGTTTAACTTTTCATATAGTTGAGCAAAAGTTGAGCAATTAGAAATATGAGCTGGTGATATAAATGTTATGTGCCATCTGTTTTCCATTTATCTCTGTGTATAATGCAAGTAGACAGGAAGTACTATTATAAATGTACACAAAGTATGAGGCCAAATTAAGGGAAGCACATGTTTTTATACATTTTTCTGTATTTTAACTTAACTATAACTCGATCATAACATAAAGATAAATTAAAACAAGAGGCTCTCAAGAGCCTGAATCGCTCACCTGTATTTCAGAGGAGAAGATTTTTAAATGTTAGCAAACTTGAACAAATTGTGTAAAATTGTCTTTAAAGGGCAATAACTCCTTAAGGGGTCAATTGACAATTTTGGTCATATTAACTTTTTTGTAGATCTTACTTTGCTGAACATTATTGCTGCTTACAGTTTACATATATCTATAGTAATATTCAAAATAATAACAAATAAAATGCTTCGCTGGGGCGCAGCTTGATACGACCGCAGAGGTCGAACCCTGAACAGTTGGGGCAAGTATGGACACAACATTCAAGCTTGATACAGCTCTGAATTTGGATTGTTATTAAATATTTGACACAGCACAGGTTTCTGACACAGAGAGAATGTGGTCTAAGAACTTGAATTTTTTTAATTTACCTATTATGGTCCAATGTCCAAAATCAAAATACATGGTTAGATTCAGCATATCAAAGAACCCCATATATTCAATTTTTGTTAAAATCAAACAAAGTTTAATTTTGGACCCCAACTTGGACATACTTAAAAACTGGGCCCATAATTAAAAATATAAACACATGTTTAGATTCAGCATATCAAATAACCCCAAGAATTCAATTTTTGCTAAAATCAAACTAAGTTTAATTTTGGACCCTTTGGACCTTAATGTAGACCAATTTAAATAAAATGCTCCGCAGGGCGCAGCTTGATACGACCGCAGAGGTCGAACCCTGAACAGTTGGGGCAAGTATGGACACAACATTCAAGCTTGATACAGCTCTGAATTTGGATTGTGATTAAATATTTGACACAGCATAGGTTTCTGACACAGAATGAATGTGGTCTAAGAACTTAAAAATTTTAAATTGGACATTCACCTATTATGGTCCAATATCCAAAATCTAAATACATGGTTAGATTCAGCATATCAAAGAACCCCAAGAATTCAATTTTTGATGAAATCAAACAAAGTTTAATTTTGGACCCTTTTGACCTCAATGTGGACAAAGTTGATAATGGGGCCCAAAAATCTAAATACATGGTTAGATTCAGCATATCAAAGAACCCCATATATTCAATTTTTGTTGAAATCAAACAAAGTTTAATTTTGGACCCCGATTTGGACCAACTTGAAAACTGGGCCCATAATCAAAAATCTAAATACATGTTTAGATTCAGCATATCAAAGAACACTAAAAATTCAATTTTTGTTAAAATCAAACTAAGTTTAATTTTGGACCCTTTGGACCTTAATGTAGACCAATTTGAAAACGGAACCAAAAATTAAGAATCTAAATACACGGTTAGATTCGGCATATCAAAGAACCCCAAAAATTCATTTTTTGATGAAATCAAACAAAGTTAAATTTTGGACCCTTTGGACCTCAATGTGGACCAATTTAAAAACGGGGCCCAAAATCCAAAAACTTAATACACGGTTATATTCAGCATATTAAAGAACCCCAATAATTCAAGAATAAAACCCCATTGAAATTGATCAAGAAATAAGCAATTTATAAGAAGTATCTTCTTTTGCACAATACTGTGCAATTGAATATTTCTTGCTATTGCGCAATACTGTACAATTGACAATTTCTTGCTATTGCGCAATATTGTGCTATTGGATATTTCTTGCTATTGCGCAATACTGTGCAATTGAAGATTTCTTGCTATTGCGCAATACTGTGCAATTGAAGATTTCTTGCTATTGTGCAATACTGTGCAATTGAAAATTTCTTGCTATTGCACAATACTTATTATATAAAAATTTACACATCCTGTTTGGTGTGTATCTCCTACCATATCATTATTATTTGCTTTTAAATATAAATCAGAAATAACCAACTTAAAATGGAAAATTTTAAAAGAAAAAAAAAGGAAAAAAAGAAAGAAAAAAAAATCCTCCCCCCAAATTTTTTGAACCCCCTTATGATTCATCACCCCCAAACTCAATCCCAGCCTTCCCTTTGTGGTATGGTACCTTGCAGTACAATTTCAGAGAGATCCATACACTTGAACACAAGTTATTGTCTTGAAACTAGAAAAATGCTTATATTTGGCCCCTTTTTGGCCCCAATTCCTAAACTTTTCAGGCAATTACCCCCGAACTCAATTCCAGCTTTCCCTTTGTGATATGAAACCTTGTAGTGCAATTTCAGAAATATCCAAACACTTACACACAAGTTATTGTCATGAAACTAGAAAAATGCTTGTTTTTTGCCCCTTTTTTGGCCCCTAATTCCTAAAATTTTGAGGCAATTACCCCCAAAATCAATTACAGCCTTCCCTTTGTGATATGGAACCTTGTGGTACAATGTCAGAGAGATCCATACACTTACACACAAGTTATTGTCTGAAAGTTACAAAATGCTTATTTTTGGCCCCTTTTTCCTTAACTGTTGGTACCATAACCCCCAAAATCAATCCCAACCTTCCTTTTGTGGTATTGAACCTTATGGTAAAATTTCATGGAGATCCATTCACTTAAACTAAAGTTAGAGTGCGAAAACCAATGTGTCTTCGGACGACGCCGGACGACGACGACGCCAACGTCATACCAATATACGATCAAAAAATTTTTAATTTTTGCGGTCGTATAAAAACGGGACTTAAAATTAAAAATCTAAATACACGGTTAGATTTGGAATATCAAAGAACCCCAATAATTCAATTTTTGATGAAATCAAACAAAGTTTACTTTTGGACCCTTTTGACCTCAATATGAACCAATTTGATAGCGGGGCCCACAAATAAAAAATCTAAATTCATGGTTAGATTCAGCATATCAAAGAACCCCATATATTCAATTTTTGTTGAAATCAAAAAAAGTTTAATTTTGGACCCCAACTTGGACCAACTTGAAAACTGGGCCCATAATCAAAAATCTAAACACATGTTTAGATTCAGCATATCAAAGAACCCCAAGAATTCAATTTTTGTTAAAATCAAACTAAGTTTAATTTTGGACCCTTTGGACCTCAATGAAGGCCAATTTAAAAAACGGGACCCAAATTAAAAATCTAAAAACACGGTTAGATTTGGCATATCAAAGAACCCCAATAATTCAATTTTTGATGAAATCAAACAAAGTTTAATTTTGGACCCTTTTGACCTCAATATGAACTAATTTGATAGCGGGGCCTACAAATAAAAAATCTAAATACATGGTTAGATTCAGCATATCAAAGAACCTTATAAATTCAATTTTTGTTGAAATCAAACAAAGTTTAATTTTGGACCCTATCTTGGACCAACTTGAAAACTGGGCCCATAATCAAAAATCTAAACACATGTTTAGATTCAGCATATCAAAGAACCCCAAGAATTCAATTTTTGTTAAAATCAAACTAAGTTTAATTTTGGACCCTTTGGACCTTAATGTAGACCAATTTAAAAAACAGGACCCAAAATTAAAAATCTAAATACACGGTTAGATTTGGAATATCAAAGAACCCCAAAAATTCAATTTTAGATGAAATCAAACAAAGTTTAATTTTGGACCCTTTTGACCTCAATATGAACCAATTTGATAACGGGGTCCACAAATAAAAAATCTAAATACATGGTTAGATTCAGCATATCAAGGAACCCCATATATTCAATTTTTGTTGAAATCAAACAAAGTTTAAATTTGGACCCCAATTTGGACCAACTTGAAAACTGGGCCAAAAATCAAAAATCTTAATACATGTTTAGATTCAGCATATCAAAGAACCTCATATATTCAATTTTTGCTAAATTCAAACAAAGTTTCATTTTGGACCCTTTGGACCTTAATGTAGACCAATTTGAAAACTGGGCCCAAAATTAAAAATCTAAATACACTGTTGGATTCGGCATAACAAATAAATAAATGTGATCAAAGATTTTACAAATCTAATGCGCTATACTGTGCAATTAAAGATTTCTTCTTGAAATTTTTCAATATTTGAAATTTGAAAAAAAAATAATATTTGAAGAATAATTTTTTTAATTTCTGAAATCTGAAATGAGAAAAAATTGACCCCCCACAATTTTTTTTTATCCCCCCCCTTTTTTCCCCCAAAAAATTCTTTCCC